CCTTGGAGGAGAGCGGGGGGTGAGCTCCCGCTGTCAGCCCCAGCTTCTGCCAACCTAGCAGTTCCAAACCATGCAAATGTGAGTAGATCAATAGGTACCGCTACGGCGGGAAGGTAACGGCACTCCATGCAGTCATGGCAGTGGCCACATAACCTTGGAGGAGAGCGGGGCAAGCTCCCGCTGTCAGCCCCAGCTTCTGCCAACCTAGCAGTCCCAAAACATGCAAATGTGAGTAGATGACTAGGTACTGCTATGGTGAGAAGGTAACAGCACTCCATGCAGTCATGCCAGTGGCCACATAACCTTGGAGGAGAGCGGGGTGAGCTCCCGCTGTCAGCCCCAGCTTCTGCCAACCTAGTAGTTCCAAAACATGCAAATATGAGTAGATCAATAGATCCAGCAGGAAGGTAACGGCGCTCCATGCAGTCATGCCAGTGGCCACATAACCTTGGAGGAGAGCGGGGTGAGCTCCCGCTGTCAGCCCCAGCTTCTGCCAACCTAGTAGTTCAAAACATGCAAATGTGAGTAGATCAATAGGTACTGATTCAGCTGGAAGGTAACAGTGCTCCATGCAGTCATGCCGGCCACATAACCTTGGAGGAGAGCGGGGTGAGCTCCCGCTGTCAGCCTCAGCTTCTGCCAACCTAGTAGTTTCAAAACATGTAAGTAGATCAATAGGTACCGCTACGGCGACAAGGTAATGGCACTCCATGCAGCCATGCCAGTGGCCACATAACCTTGGAGGAGAGCGGGGTGAGCTCCCGCTGTCAGCCCCAGCTTCTGCCAACCTAGCAGTTCCAAAACATGCAAATGTGAGTAGATCAATAGGTACCAGTGAGAATAGGTTACCGGTGAGAAGGTAACCGGTGAGAATAGGTTACCGGTGAAAATAGGTTACCGGTGAGAAGGTAACGGCGCTCCATGCAGTCATGCCAGTGGCCACATAACCTTGGAGGAGAGCGGGGTGAGCTCCCACTGTCAACCCCAGCTTCTGCCAACCTGGCAGTTCCAAAACATGCAAATATGAGTAGATCAATAGGAACCGCTCCGGCGAGAAGGTAACGGCACTGCATGCAGGCATGCCAGTGGCCACATAACCTTGGAGGAGAGCGGGGTGAGCTCCCGCTGTCAGCCCCAGCTTCTGCCAACCTAGCAGTTCGAAAACATGCAAATATGAGTAGATCAATAGGTACCACTCTAATGGGAAGGTAACGGTGCTCCATGCAGTCATGCCAGTGGCCACATAACCTTGGAGGTGTCTATGGACAACGCCGGTTCTTCAGCTTAGAAATGGAGGTGAGCACCAACCCCCAGAGTCGGACGCAACTAGACTTAATGTCCAAGAGCCCTGCCAATGTCCTCCACCAACACAACACTGCCCACCACCCAACTGAAGGCTTTCACACAGGGACAATCTCCTCCTAGATTTTATGTGTTTTCTCCGCCACAGGCATCCCAGTGTTTCTTTCTCTCTCCACTGGTGTGGAATTTGCATGACCCCGCCCATGCAATCCCATGAATTTAATGTATTTTCTTAAGAAAATAATACTCAAGAGATAATTTAGAGTTGGAAGAGACCACCAAGGGCCATCCGGTTTGGCCTCCGTCTGCCAGGTAGGAAAAGCACAATCAAATCACTCTTGACAGATGACCATCCAGACAGTGGCTTGCTCTGAAACAAAGCCTATAGCACCTTCTATCTATCTATCTATCTATCTATCTATCTATCTATCTATCTATCTATCTATACACACACACACATACATAGCACACACACACACATACATACATACCCCCCACACACACATTGGATATATATATAGAAAGAGAGAGTTACACTTAAAAAACATACCTATCCCGACTTACATACAAATCCAGGTTAAGATGATGATGGTGATGATGATGATGATGATGATGATGGAAAGATAGGAAGAGCATCACAAACCATAGCCAAGAAGCAACCAGTGGTTGGAATAATGATGATGATGATAATAATAATAATAATAATAATAATAATAATAATAATATTTATTAGAAGCAATCGGGTTGGAATGATGATGATGATGATGATGATGATGATGATGATGATAATAATAAATGTATTATTATTAATAATATTTATTAGAAGCAATCAGGGGTTGGAATGAGGATGGTAATAATAATAATAATAATAATAATAATAATGGGAAGATGGGAAGATCATCACAAACCATAGCCAAGAAGAAACTGGGGGTTGGATTATTATTATTATTATTATTATTATTATTATTATTATTACTATTACTATTTAGAAACAATCAGGGATCGGAATGATGATGATGATGATGACAGGAATATGGGAAGAACATCACAAACCATAGCCAAAAAGCAATCAGGAGTTGGAATATAATTTATTATTATTATTATTATTATTAGAAGCAATCAGGGATCGAAATATTATTATTATTATTATTATTATTATTATTATTATTATTATTATTATTATTATTATAAGCCACCAGGGGTTGGGATAATAACAACAATAATAACAATTTATTAATAATAATTTATTATTATTAGCAATCAGAGGTTGGAATAATAATAATAACAATAATAAACAATTATTATTATTAGAAGCAGTCAGGGATTGGAATAATTATAATAATAGCAACAATAAGAATCATAATAATACTTTATTATGATGATTATTATTAGAAATAATTGGGTTGGAATAATAATAATAATATATATTATTAGAAGCAATCAGGGGTTGGAATAATAATAATAATAATAATAATAATAATAATAATATTTTGATTATTATTAGAAGCAAGCAGGGGTGGGAATAATAATAATAACAACAACAACAACAACAACAACAATATATTTTGATTATTATTAGAAGCAATCAGGGGTTGGAATAATAATAATAATAATAATAATAATAATATATTTTGATTATTATTAGAATCAATCAGAGGTTGGAATAATAATAATAATAATAATAATAATAATAATAATAATAATAAATTTTGATTATTATTAGAAGCAACCAGGGGTGGGAATAATAATAATAATATATGTTGATTATTATTAGAAGCAATCAGGACTTTGAATAATAATAATAATAATAGTAATAATAATAACAACAATAATAATAGTAATATATTATTAGAAGCAATCAGGGGTTGGAATAATAATAATAATATATTTTGATTATTATTAGAAGCAATCAGGGGTTTGAATAATAATAATATATTTTGATTATTATAAGAAGCAATCAGGGGTTTGAATAATAATAATAATAACAACAAAATAATAGTAATATATTATTAGAAGCAATCAGGGGTTGGAATAATAACATCAACAACAATCATCATAATCATAATAATCTATTATTATTATTATTATTATTATTATTATTATTATTATTATTATTATTATTAGCAATCAGGGGTTGGAATAATGACGATGATGATGCATTCAAAGAGGGAATAAGCTTCTTCTATCCTGAGTTTCTTCCTACCCCACCCTTTGAATAAAAATAATATAATATAATAAGTAACAAAATTCTGATCCTGGTTTGGAAGTCTTATTCCTGTTGAATTGTGCGGTCCTGATTTTGCAAGGAGTTGTGCTGCTCCACAAACACGAGTGGAATGGGTTGGGCTATTCATTGGAAAACTATAGCAAGGGGGATCTCCCTCCCACAGAAACAAAGTTTGGGCAGTCTAATACCCTTTTCCCATATGTATATAGTAGGAACAATTGGGAAATGGCATTTATAACCCAGGAACAACAATGGTGCAGTTAATAAATGCAAGACATCCAAAGGCGCAGGCATTCCTCCCCAGGGGCGGCTCGTCCATTACGCCAAGTAAGCGGTCACAGAACCCTTTTTTTTGCCAGGGGCGCAGAGGCACCTCTGTAAATGCCCCTCGACCGCCACTTGAGGAGCGCCCCCTCAGCTCACAACAGCCCTAGCAGTCCGGGGGGAGCCTCGGCTTTCTTGCCTCGCTGCCGGGCGATCCTCTTCCCAAAGGGGCCGGGCCCTTGAGCCTCGCCTAGCCCCTCTCGTTCCTGCTCCACCCGGCCACCGGGTGCGTGAGCAGAGCTGGCGCTCAATCGTTCTCCGTGTTCGATCCCTTCCCCATGACCGGCTCCCTTTCCCGATCCCCCGGCGCTCCACCTGCCTCCTCTCCTCTTCCCAATCCGCGGGTGGGCCAAGGGGCGGAGCCGCTGTACCTGGCCCACTTCGGGTACGGAGGTGTGTTTGAAGACCCCAGCGTGCGCACCAAAAGGCGCCTCTTCCCCTGACTTTCTCTTCAGCCATTGGGACCAAGAGAGAGAGAGAGAGAGAGAGAGCCCCCGGCTGGAGGTATCTCCCACCTCCGCTCCCTCCTTTGTTTTTGCGCCTACCTTCAGGAAAGGTGGGCATCTCCACCTCTCTCTCTCTCTCTCTCTCTCTCTCTCTCTCTTGGTCCCAATGGCTGAGGAGAGAGCCATGTCTGAAGACCCCAGCATGCGCACCAAAAGTCGCCTCTTCTCCTGACTTTCTCTTCAGCCATTGGGACCGAGAGAGAGAGAGAGAGAGCCCCTCCGGCTGGAGGTATCTCCCACCTCCGCTCCCTCCTTTGTTTTTGCGCCTACCTTCAGGAAGGGTGGGCATCTCCTCTCTCTCTCTCTCTCTTGGTCCCAATGGCTGAGGAGAAAGTCAGGAGAAGAGGTGACTTTTGGTGCACACGCCGGGGTCTTCAGGCACGCCTCCAGGACCCAAAGCGGGCCAGGCAAGGGAGCAAGTGCGGCAAGTGTAGTTACTGGGATGTATAGTTCACCTACAATCAAAGAGCATTCTGAACTCCACCAATGATGGAACTGAACTAAATATGGCACACAGAACTCCCACGACAAACAGAATATATATATATCAATGATTGGTTGGGGGTGGCGTCAAAATACTGTTTGCTTACAGTTGAAAATTACCTAGGGCCGCCTCTCGCGCGCGTGGGTGGTGGTCTCAC